CCTGGTGGCTGCTGCTAGCCCGCCGATCTGAGCGCTGCAGCTTACGCGGGAAGGGGGACACTAGCTCCTTCCTACGGTCAGCTGCTGAAGGAGGGCACGGGGCTGCACTGCAATGACATGTTCTGCGATGAGCTGCAGGGCACACAGTGGAGATGCTCCCGCGTGTGAGTTGGGAGTAGGCTTTGAGTATTGCTGTCCTAGCGCGAGGTGGGTGCGAGCCTCGAAAGCCCCGGGCGTGTTGCAGGGGCGGGCTCCTGCGAGGAGACCTGGCTGCAGGGAGTAAAACTGGATATTCTCACCGAGGTATTGCCCTGGGTTTTGGGGGAGATGTTCCCTTCGGGCTTCAAGTGAAGGGTCAGTTTTTCAAGCCTTGACTTCCATGGTTTCCAGGGATTGTCATTCTGGCTTGACTGAATACAGGTAGTCCTCGACTTTGAGACGTTTGGAGTTGCAACGAATGGCACTTACATTTATGAATTGACACTGTTTCCACTTTCTGACATCAGTTTCAACTTTACAACACTTGATTCGACCCCACGCAAGCAAAAAATTTGCTGCATCGCCCATCTCCCTGGAGAACATCTGTCCAAACTTCCTTGTCCAAACTTCCTTGGACATTTTCTTTAACAAAGCAGACAAGACACCAGAAAAACCTGCAGCCAGGACTCCTGAGAAGACTCCAGCCAAGTGCCCTTCAAAAAGTGCAAGCAAAGTCACCTCAAATAAGTTCTTCCAAATCAATATGATTGCTGTTTACAATATAAACACATTAATGTAGCTACATTATTCATCTATAATTGATTGAGTACAAAATTCTGGGTTATTTTTGGTGAAAATAGGGTATCAGGCCTTGGTTCAGGAACCCCCCCATTTATAACATTGTTTCCTATGGGAAAATTAGTTCCGAGTTACCATGTTTCGACTTAAGATGCTGTTTTCAGGAACCAATTGTGTCCTAAGTCTGAGGACTGCCTGTGCTCTACAAAATCTGGGCACTAATTTAAAAAATAACAACTTGTGACAATATTAGTATACTGTACTATTGAAACTGGGAATGTGAAGAACCTATGTGTCTATTCCATTCACCCAACAGCAACTCAAGAACAAATTTCAGCAGACCCCAGTAACAAATCTAAATAAGATAGACAACATGGTTTAAAATAAGCATCTCTGTTGTTTTTATTGGGGGGAGGTCTCTGCTCTTTCATTGGTGGGATTCCCACTCCAACAGTGTAGATCTTCAGATTGCTACATTGAAAATGCTTCCCACCACAATGACCAGCAGTAGCTTGTTAGGATGAATGGCAGAGGTCCATCTCTAATGCCGTCTGCGGAAGGAAAATTCAGCTACTTCCTAGCCCAGGATTTACTTGTAAGGGTCTGTCTCAAATCAGCTGCCTGTGATACAAGTCTTCCCTGTTGAGGAGGTAACTAGTAGTTTTCTGGGACAGCCCTGCCACACCTGCTGGGCTTTAAGAGACTGGTGATGTGACTTAGTGCCTCCCACTTTATGTAGATGGAACGTGGTAGTCTGCTTGTTTGGATCTGGACTGCCTTTTGGGATACCAGTTCTCGTTGTGTCTATAGGCTCACCCTCTTTCTCCAGAATATCAATACGGTTGATCTTTCAGGAGAAACTAATGTCCTTGGTAACGTCATTTGATGTGTATCCTCAAAATTCTTCCATAACCCACTGTTTCTTTTCCCCACAAAACCTGCATCTTTCCTGCCATAAGCACCAGTTTCCCTAAAGCCCCACAATCTCCCTGGTCTCTGCCAGACCTTTTCTTCTGTTTTCCTTTGTACTTTTCTCCATCAAGCCTCCAATTCTCTAATCCTGTATTTCTTGAAAGTCCCCCAGCCAATTCTTGCTGGTCTTTCTGCTTCCCTAGATATCTGCTTTCCAAGTACCCCTCCAAGCTGTCCCCACCTCACAGTGCCTTTCCTAATATCCCTTTTCCCCTACATTTTCTCAGAAACTCACAATGACCCTCCTTACTCCAGCCCCCTCAAGCTCTCATTTCTCTGTTAATACCTGTCATACTTCCTGTTTCTCAAGGTCTCTCATCCTCTTTCTATTCTCAGTCTCATTTAGCTACCCTTCCCTAGAGTGCTCCCTAAGGCGAGCTACAAAGGGTGATACCCAACTGCTGCCCAGCATTAAGGCAGACTACTGCAGGTAGCAGGAGGCTGGAGTATAATGTGCTGACCCAAACTACTGCTGCTGACTAGAAAATTTTTCCTAAGACTCTTTGACTCTTGCAGCCCCTAAAGGAATGCTCCTTTATCTAATGTTGGGTGAAGAGGAAAACCATTTGGCAGGTCAGGCAGAGGGCTCCCTGCTCGTCAGCCTCTTCCCTTCCAGTTGATTTTGGAGCAGAGCCGGGAGGCACAGCACCATAGCCCAATACCACTGAGCAGCATGCAGGTGAGCATGAGCAATGTGGGTGCAGACAGGCTGAGCAGGCGGGTGCCTGGGCAGAAAGGGAGCCTGGTCCTGAGACAATGAGTGAAAGTGTCCAAGGGTAGTGATGGATGACTTTTTGGCCCTGTGGGCCAGATGAGTGGCCTGAAGCTGGTCTGTGGGAGAGATGCCTTGTTAATGCCAAGATCAGGCTCCAGTGCCCAGTGCCAGCCTAGCCCTGTGCACCTGATCTAGCATGCAGAACCACACTATCCAGCCTGCAGGCTCCCCGCATGTCCCAGAAATTTGGCAGCAGGGGAGCAACAGTTAATGCTGCCACTACCGCCAAATTTCCAACCCCCTGGGAAGCCCTGGCTCCAAGGGCCAGAGCCAGTTGAACACCCCTGTGTTGGGAGAAAGGATGAACAGATGTGCTGGGGGGGGGGGATCTTGTGACAGGAGAACAGGTAGAGAACTCACAGGGAGCACTACTCTATTATTTGTGGATTAGTTATAACATGCCCTGATGGTCACTCATTCAGTGAGCTAAAAGGAACACGTCAAGATGAGCTGTCACCTTTAACAGGATGGCTTTAAGCATGAACACTGCCTGCTCCTGGAGGCATGGTGAGCTCCCAGAGGCGGTGGGGAGGAGGGTGGCGAGTGCCAACCAGTGGTCGGCAACTACCTGTAGACACTGGTGGCAGCGGCCAGTGGCAATTGTGGATTGCCCGCAGACGCCACCGGCAGTGTCGGTGGCAAGGAAGGGTGGCAAGTGGCAGTCAACACTATCTGTGGCACCTTTTGTCAGGGGGCGCACCACCACCCTCGGGGTGTATGTGCACCTGTGTGCACCCCCTGTGTGTTGCCAACGGCTTTAAAATCCCTGAACAAGACACTGTCAGCAGAACTCGGCAGAATCCAGCTGTCCCACCCAGCAGTTACCTGGGGACTCCGCTTCGTGTGTCCCCAGTGAGGACAAAAGGCCAGTCTCTCCAAATGTTGGGAGCTGAAAAACAAAACTTGAAGTTTGAAAACGCCCAGATGGGGCAGTCCAACCAGTTGCAGTCAGAAACATTTGTAAAAGAACCCCCTCCCCCCAAAACAAAACTCACAAACCTGCATTTTCTCACAGGAAAAAAAGCCATCACTGAGAAGTTTTCTAACCCACTCCCCACAGGTGAAGGCTTGCCAAAGGTTTCCGGGCCTGGCCCCAGCAAGCTGAGCCCCGGGCGCCCTCGGGCGGGGGCAGCGCGCTCGCTTCCTCCTTCCAGGCCCCCTCGCCCCTCCGCTCGCCTTCTTCGTGCGCCGCGGGCGCC